ACTTGAACCATAAGGCATGCTGGCATTGCAGGCAGTGGCTTAACCTGCTGTGCCACAACACCTGCCTCTCCATGAACTTTTTGAAGACCTCATGGATTGTCTGAGGACCCAGCACCCTCTAGCCTCATGATAAATGTGAGGATATGATGGTGAGCAGAGGTGTGCCCAGTCTGTGTGCTCCCGGCATTTGCAGTCCAGCGTGGAATATGGAATTAAGTAGTTTCTGTTTTCTACTTTGAAGCTTGTGAACTGGAACGATGAGCGGTCTTTCTGGCTACTATATTACATTTACTTGAAGCAACCTGGGGTCAGTGTTTAGCTTTATAATCAGTAAATTAATTTCTTCAACACCTGCATGACAATCGTGGAAGAAAAGCACCTAACACAAGTCCCGGGGGCTTCCAGGTATCTTTGCAGCTGGGACCTGCTCTGAACGCAGGATAAGCAAAAGCCAAACCCTGGCCTGGTAAAGAACCAGAAGACAAAACAAACCAGCATCTGCAGAGAGTAGGATAGCACCGGTTCAGGCTGCCTCCAGGGTAGGGCGGGAATGGTGGGGGAGGCACAAGGGAGGACACAGCACAGGTGAGTGAGACAGAAGAGGAGGAGACACAGGATCCAGCCCCTGTGGGGAGGATTGAGAGTCCCCTGGGACCTGGGTTCCGTATCTGCTCACTAGGCATTCCACAGCATGGAACACACAGCAGGACTTCAACAGATCTTTGCTCATTGAACGACTGCAACAGTGAACACCCACAAAAGACCAAATACACAAGTGAATGTGCTTTAGCTTCCAAGAAAAGTGCCCATGGAGCGGAGTGGGTGTTGGGCTTAGCAGTTACGATGGAGCCTGGGCAAGTCTGGGTTCAAGTCTCACTTCTGCCTCCAGTCCAGCTTCCTGCTGATGCAGATCCCCGGAGGAAGCAGTGATGGTTGCTGGGTACCCACCACCCACAAAGGAGACCTGGATTGAGGGCTCCTGGCTTGAGCTAGGCCCTGTCCCAGTCGTTGTGGGCATTTGAGCAAACCAGTTGATGGGAGTACAGTCTCCTTCACTGTCTCAAATATATAAATTAAAAACAATTTTTTTTTTTTTTGCTAAACAAATGCCAATATCCATCTATTGAGACAGTTGGGAATCTACGGTTTACTCTACAGCAGTTGTCTGCACCCTGAGTTCCCCAGGGAGCAGCAGGGGCCTCAAGTGTTATTCCCCTTCCTTACTTAATCACTGGCCTGCTGGAGAAGCCACACAACAGAATCCCTGAGTCACAGTGGCCGGGTGCTTCCTTCCTGGTCTGGCGCTGAGTGATACTCCCGTGTGGGTTTTGCGGCCAGAAAACACGTGCTGGCTGGGAATGCTGTCACCGCAGGGTCACCTGGAACCACCGGCCAGGACACACCACCTGTGCCCATGGACGACACCTTGCTTAGCCCAAGGCTCCGTCTCATCGGCCTTACTGCGTTCGTGAGCTTACTGCTCCTTTGTCCTGTGCCTGAGGCTATTTCAAAAAGTTCATGGACAAGCAGACTCAAAAGATGTTTATTTTGGTGCCTAAAAAATTGACATTTGTGTCTAGTTTTTTTAAAAATATACATTTTCCATGAACTTTTTGAAGATGCATGATATACTAATTTTGCATTTTTTACAAATTTATTTATTTAAATAAATTTTCAACAAATTTATTTATTTATTTGAATGGCAGAGTTAGAGACAGAGAGAGAGAGAAAGCATTGGGGAGAGACAGAGAAAGAGAAAGATCTTTATCCGCTGGTTCACTGCTCAGTGACTGCAACAGCCAGGGCTGGACCAGGATGAAGCCAGGAGCTTGGGACTCCATCCAGTTCGCCCTTGTGGGTAGCAGGGGCCCCAGTAATCAGCCCATCTTCCACTGCTTTCCCAGGTGCATTAGCAGGGATCTGGATTGGAAGTGGAGCAGCCAGGACTCGAACTTGTGCTCATATGGGATTTTTCAAGCCATTGCAACATATCACCCACCCCGAGTTTTGCATTCTTCACAATAATGCCCATGCTCTGCTGACTCAGCCGCCCTCACACAGTGCTGAGCACGGGCTGGTGCCTGCTGAGTTGCTGCTTTAGGAAGCCATGGTGTGAGGGTGCCATGCGGGGCACCCACCAACGACATCTTCTCTCAGCAGCAATGCAGCCAATGCAAACTGTGGGGCTCTGCTGTCCGTGGCAGCTAACAGCACAAACAGGGCCCCCAGACAGATGGACATGATGAAGGGGTCAGCTCCTGAGAACCATCAGGTTCCCTCCTGAACCAACAGCTTCCGAAGCTGGCGTTTCGGATGAACATCCAGAATCAAACACAATGGACTGTCTTCAAAGGAACTGCTTTTAATACAACTGTTTTTTCTTTAATCAATGGATTAAAAATTTAACACACTTACTAAATCTGGCATATTTATATATTGTATCTAAACAGACATTCAAGCTGCATTATAACATAATAATAATAAAGAAACTATCTCCTTCTGTCTGTTAAGCCTTTGTGCATCTTTGTGCCATGGTAGCAGTAGTGCTAATTATCAAGCAAAGACATGATAATTATGCAGAGCTTTTCTGCGAAAAGAAGGAATCTCTGTCAACACCCACACGCTGCACAATTTCCTATGACCCTGTAACACTACTCTGGAATGGCCCAGACATTTGTATTCCAGTTTCAGGGCAGGAAGTCATATTATTTCTCTCGCCACACACACACCCCCCCCCCAACCTTTTTTCTTCTTCTTTTGAGTAAACTGTTCCTAGAGGGTTAAGGGAGAAGGGGTAATGGTCCAAGAGGGAAATAGAAAACTAATGACCCTTCATGAATTGTATTTTGCTCCCCATTAAACTTACTCAGTTAAATGTATTCCATTAAATTAAAAGACGTAGGATTTGAAAATTTTACCCAGGAGTAGCCTACTAGCTTAACTTTGAGCTTTATGCTAGATCCATTCTAAGAGTGAATTCCTCAGCTTGCTGGTGGATCTAACACAATGCGTGTCTTCGAGCTGCAGAGCTTCTCACACATAGTGGGTCTACGGAGATGTGCAGGGCTTTCTGAACCCCAAATCCCGTCTCCTCCCCCAGCTACCTCTATGGGGTGTTGATTCAACCATCAGCATTTTGGAACACATTCCATGTGGGGGTGATGTGAAGTTTTGTCAAGCCGAGGGACTGCAGCCTTCCTTCTTTCTCTATAAATCTGATACTAGAAAAAGTGGGAAAACCATACAGGTGACGAAAGCGTGCAGAGGTAGCTAGGCTGAGCACACAACAGTGTGTTTCGCACATCCAAAGAACTGAGCCACCCAGTGTCTAGGTTTAACCTAGGATTCCCGAATGTTGTTTTGAGAAAAGTAGAGCTCTAACCTATTGATGTCCAATGAAAGGAAATAGTCTTTGCTTTATTCTTTTTAAAAATCACCACTCTTTAAAAGTAATAGTGTTGTCGAGGAGTTTATATTCAAGGCCTTCCGTTTTGAGATGAGAACGCTTTAGCAGGAGCGGGAAAGCTAACTTGCACATGACACCATAGTGCAAGACCAGCAATCAAATGCAAGATCTTTGGCTCTCAACCACTGCTCTGCTCATGGCCTCCGAAGGGCCTGGTGCTCAGATCATTCAAGAATGGGAAAGTCTCCTACAGAATATGAAACTTGAGGTCACCTCTAAGTCACACAGGCACGGAAGACTTGACAGCCAACTAGTTCTGTTCACCTTCATGTTTATGTATCTTCAAATTTACATGTGCACATGAATAAAGAACTATGTGAAATAAACCGCCAGCGATCTTAAATTTCAATACCAGGATAAGCACAGAATTCAAATGATCTGATCAGCCAATGAAAATCTAGAATGACACAAGGTATTTTAAGCACATGCCACATTAGCTCTAGGTAATTCACTTCTGTTTCTCTGACATTATTTGCTTGTCTTTGCTAGACAAAACAAAATACCAGTTCAAGACTGCTGAGAAATTTCCAAATACAAACAAAGAAATAAGTGTTGGTCTTGGACCACATGAACAGGTAAAAGGGAGATGGATGTGGGAGGCATATGAACTTGATCTGGATTCATAGCAGATTCTTCTCTCTCTTAGCAATGGGTATGCTGATGCCAACTCTGTCAAACTGAATCTCAGCACATACTTTCAGAACATTATTAACTGTGTCTTGTATTTCTGGGAAAACATGGCAGACACAACCTAGCAAATGACAAGCAGACCAAAAGGTGAGGAGAGCAGGCAGACGGGCCCATTCTCCTGACCCCTCCTCCTCCTTTTTGGGTTAGCAGCCACTGCTCATGAAAGAGTCTAGGACGTAACAGCACACAAGCCGGGTATCTGCCGAAAGTGTTTTAAAAAGTTCCATCCAAAATCCTATGGCATGTTACTTATGCTAATCAATCTAAAATATCTTTTGGGTTTTAACACGCTTATTTATTTTTGTCATAATCAACATTTTAAATGTGATTTTGATAAAACACTTAGCAAACATTTAGATTCATTTTCCTCCAGTCTCCGATACCACGTACATCAACAGTTTTCACTGCTATAGAAAATGATGTAATTTGGGGGGGAAAAACATCTTTAGGAAAATGATTGTCATTACTCTTCCAGCAAGAACATATTTCAAAGAATTAATTAGGGAGAAGAGACATAAAGTGAAAAATTGGAAGTGTAAGGCTGGCATGAGTTCATATTTCAATATAATTTTTTTTGCTACGTTGGGAAATCGTCTAAGATGTGGTGAGCTGTCTCCTGAGCACAGTTCCCAACCCTGGTGTCCGGATAACGCAGTGGGGGGCAGTGGCCATCCTAGGAAGACGAGGCACTGGGACTGGGTTTCCATCAAGGACCAGTGCCGCACCTTCCCCGTCACTGCTGCACCTTACGTCGTGTGGGGGACAGGCAGGGCACAGCGGTAGCGGGGTCGCGAGCATCCCCGGGAGGAAAAGGCACGGCTGCGTGCCTGACGCTCGCCCTCACCTCCACGATGTCCGAGTTCGTCCGGCTCTCGTGCGGCTCGTTGTACTCCGTGTACTTGAGCAGCACCTTGTCCATGTCGGTGCTGGCGTACTGGAACAGCTTGTTGGTGCTGTTGAAGATGATCAGGGCGATCTCACAGTCGCACAGCACGCTCAGCTCGTAAGCCTTCTTCATCAACCCAAATTTCCTCTTGGTAAATGTCACCTGGAAAAAAAGACAGTGGGCGAGTTTTTAAAGAGAAAAAGTCGTGCACGTGTGGGTTTTGCTTTATGTGTATTTTTTTTCCTTTGCAAAAACAATGGTGTGTAGTTGTCAGAGCCCCTGGGCAGTAACACATTTGGAAGAAAAGCAAATAAATCTAAAACTAATTTCTGCTTAGAATTTGAAAATGTGTGATTTCTAGCTTGTTGCTGAAGCTGTAAGATTCAAGGTAAAGCATTTTAATGAAGGTAACCAGAGAACGAGTCCACATTTCTTTGAGCAACAGAAGATTTAAAACAATTAATTTCAGCATGGTTAAACTTCTTCCTAAGTTTGGAGCTTATTTTTTGAACACCTGAAGCCTGAATACAACATTGTAAACTTAGTATTTTAGATTGGTGCTCAAAAAAAATAAAAAAGGAAAAAAAAAGAAAACCATTAAAATTGTCTTGTTTCCTACCATTTAATTGAAAATACTTGAAGAAATGCAACTGTGCTCTCAAAGAGTTTTGCATTTGCTTTTGCAGCCATTCAGTAACAATCTTGGGAAGTAACTTAGCCCTAATACTGTTAGGGCTTTGGTTTCATTCTTCTATTTACATTTTTTTCTTTTTTTCCAGCCAGAAATTACAGCTACCTCTGAGTTTTTCTTCTTTTAATCTAATCTATTACCAAGTCCCATAATTCCTTCCCTCAAAACATTTCTCAGGTTCACACTTGTCCTTTCCCAGGCGGCTCCACCACTTACACACTTATCAATTCACTTCCGGACAGCCTGTCAGCTTCCTGTCCCAGCAGATCACCCCGCCTGGACTCCCTCCCTGCTGGATTCACCCCAAGCTGCAAAGCCTCACTCTGCCAGCTGCCTTTCTCCCACTGAACTGTCTGCACGGCTCCTGTCCTCAGTACTGCCTCCTTTCCACCTGCCAGCCCTACCCAGTGCAGGCGATGTCTCCCTCTCCCCACTTTCAGCCTTCTCTTGATTATAAACTTTAGCTTGCCACTCCAGCCTGCCCAGCAAAACGGCATGTACATCCCTCAGCATAAGTTCACAGTAAGGTACTTCAAAAAGTTCATGGAGAATGGAATTAAAAGATAAGCTTGGGTGCAAAAAATATTCAATCCATGCATATGAGGAGTCTTCAGAAAGTTTGTGGAAAATGCATACTAGGAAAAAAACTATGCATGGATCTTAATTTTTTTTGGAGCCCAATAAGCTTACTTTTTAAATTTCATTTTCCATGAACTTTCGGCAGTTCCCTCTTGCATACTGTCCAGTGTTTCCCAGCAGGTATTCTAACGAACATCATGCTTGTACCATACTTCTTAAAAGTTCAATGGTCCAATACATTTGGACAATAAGGCCAATTGCTTACAGGAAAGGCTGAGAAACCTAACTTATTTAATCTGCTTCCCATACCTACTGCTGCCAGTAATATTTGTTTCTTTGCTCATTTATTTGGAGTAGTGATTCTTAAACTAGGCTTTGAGGCACTTACTCTTGGAAATGTCTGAATACCAGTATAGACATTATGGCAGAGACGTGCGATATAAAAAACTTAATGGGGGGAAACCACTATGTGAGGTTCGCAGGAACATCACATCAATCTACATTACGTAACATTCTACAGTGACTTTTCTCGTGAGTTTTTCAAGTGACTCACCTATAGATTTGGAGAAGTGTCCATGTCACCGAATAGTGACTGTAGGAGTCTATGCCATTCACAGGGAAGGTAGCACGTTAGAAAGGGAAGACCATGGAACTTGGATTCCAAGAATTCTGGGCTTGAATATTGCCTCTGCTAGTTGTTAGTCCCAAGAAATTCATGTAACTTCTTTGAGTCTCATTTTTTCATTGTGGAGACATCTACTCTTTGGGTTGCTGTTGAGGATTGCATGAAATAGTGTGCACAGCACTGCAGGCAGTGCTTAGAGTAAATGCCTCAAACCTCAGTTCCCACCGCTTTCTTAGCTAGGTTAACAGGAAAAGAAGAGCTAACACAACGTGTCTGTCCTGCAGGCCTGAGCAGTCTACCAGGTTGGGCTATTTGAGCCCCTTTCCACTCCCGATAGAAAGAGAAAGCCCACCATGCTCGCTGGACAGCCTTTGGGAGAGAAAGCATTCTAGAATTTACCAGCCCATGGCACCCAGTCAATATCTACGCAGATGTGCTGTTTACGTCCCAACCTTGGCAATGTCTGACCTCCTTTTTCATGTTTATGGTCTCTTCAATGCGCATCTGATAAAATATAGCTGGTGTTTTACTTTCACATGAGAATACCATACACTTTAGAGACTTCTACTTTGGTTTGTTCAGAGGAGTCATGATTGATATTCAAGACGGATTAAGGACATAAAGTTGCATGATCACTAATCACCCAGAACTACACAAAGGGTCTTTGAATATTTCTTTTAGATGCAATGTAGATATCCAACTGTACCTGCATATTGGTATTTTATTTACTGAAATAGGCTATAAAATATGTTCTGCACAGAAGGCCCTGACCCAAAATACTTCCACGTATCTAAAACCACTGTTAATCAGACTTCATGACCACAAGCTGTGGGTGGAATGTCTCAATACAGTATGGTTTCTGTTGTGCTCAGACCTCAGAATTTAGCACGTTACAGCACCTACCATCAAAGCACACTGAGGTACAGAAATATCACTAAAGCCACTATTTGTGTTTACTTTTCGGTGCTCCTCGACTTTTGTGTAACCAAACAGGCTGCCGGATAACGCATACTTATTCAACAATACTTGTCAAAAGAGTCCGTGCATATAGCTGCTTTTCATTAAAACTGCAAACTGAAATGATGACTATATTAAAGCATTTCAGAAAGTATCTTCAGAATCTACTCTTAATTGCTCTAAATCTAATTCTGCATTATGTTCATAATCTTTATAGCATACTCAAAATGTATTTTATAATGCTTTTTCTCATTGTTCGTAGTTAGATAAAATTGTTTTTAGGCATTAAGCTTTTCAAAGAGAGCTGGGATATTACTCTTCATTTAAAATATGCCACTCAACGACAAAGATTGCAATTCAGAGCTTTTATACTTAAATGTAATAATGTATTGTAATGATTACATTTTTCATAACTTGACAATAGTCTGTAATGGGGACAAGTCCATATTTCTCTTTCAATAGCATATTTTGAACTTCAGGTGAGACAGAAAGCTGTTTTTATGATAGTTAGGCGAAGAGATGCTCTTTTCCAGTGTTTACACCAATCAAGGTGTATCAGGAGAAGAATAGAGCCAATATCATTAAAGTGAGTACGACAATTCAAAGCTTAGTTTTCAGAACCAAAAAAACTTAACGTATGATGTATGCATGGAAAACAAAGCTACTCTGTAAACACTGACCATTTTATTTTATCTTTTTTTTTAACCTCTTGAATCTTCCAATAACCACAAACGTAATGATGGTGTTGTATTGAGATGTTCCAGGATTAACTTTTGGAGTAACCCTGAATTTCAGATCCTCACGTAAGGTCAGACATCACATATCTTATCTAACAGTGGCTCTAGATCACACAAGACGTGATCAAACATTGGAACTGCAGAAAGCCAGAGTAAGTAAAGTGCCACCTAATTTAGTTACAGAGAAATCACTCCAGCCCAAATTTCCTGAGCATGATCTGTGTGCCAAACACTGTGCGAGGCAGTATTTATTTATTATTCTTCATGTCAGACACTTGCATTAGGTGCTGTGGTTCTGATTGCATACAATAATGTCTTTGTTCACATGGCTCCCTCATGGCTGCAGCAAAAAAGGCATTTAATTCCTTAACGCTTAAGAAGAATTTTCTTTATTTGGGACAAAACTCATTACTTGGCCCTAAGAGTTATATTTTCAGTCATGTCTAATGATCTGCAGTCGTATTTTTATCTGGAGTTGGGAGAAATCAGTTGTTGCTTTCAGACCAAGTCTTTGTCTAGACTGAGCATGAAAAGGAATAGGAGATGCTAATCCAATCAAGACAGATATGAAGCGACATCCACCACATGGGCCACTTCTTGTCTGGGATGAAAGCTGGTGGCCGTCTGATGCCCTGCTGCTCCCTTTCCACCTGGTCACCGGCAGGTGCCCACCACACTGCAAGGCTTGCCTGAAGCTTGCACTGTCACACTCAGGTCAAACCTCGTCCTCCCTGCACCTTGCTCCTCCTGCTTTGCAAGTCTTTCCTCCAGCCCCGCATTACAGAGCTGGTTCGCTGTGCGTCTGTCTCTCCTGCTGGCTTTTGAACACTCCCAAGTCTCCCACTCGGGCCTTACCCAGCCTCTGTCCAGCGGACGCTCAATAGGCATCTGCTGAACAGTGCATTAGGCGATGGAAATACTCTATCTTAGAGGCTGAATGTCTAGATACAGCTTTTCTGTTCAAAGTTGATATTTTTACTCGCCTTTTTGACAACTGAATCTCGCAGCAAGGGATTCTGGACCGTACGTGAGAGGGTTTCCAGAAGGTTGTGGAAAATGTGTACTATGAAAATATTAGGCATGGATTACATTTTTAATTTTTAAAAAATTTTCATCTCCTTGAAAGGCAGAGCAAGGCATGGAGACACAGAGAGAAAGAAACAGAGTGAGCGGAAGGTCTTCCATCTACTGGTTCACTCGCCAACTGACAGCAACAACTGGGGCTGGGCCGGGCTGAAACCAGGAGCCTGGAGCACCATTCAGGTCTCCCACACAGGTGGCAGGGGCCCAAGCACGTGGGCCATGTTTGCTGCCTCATAGGATGCATTAGCAGGAAGCTAGCTGGGAAACAAAGTAGCCAGGATTTGAACTGGCTTAACCCAGTTCATCACAACACCTGCCCCTAAACATTTTTTTTTTTTTGCACTAACATAAACCCATGTTTTAATTCCATTTTTTCACAAACTTTTTGAAGCCCCCCTTCATATATGTATATGTTTATTTTACTGAAAAATTTAGCAGATTAGTGACATCAATCTTGAGCAAAAGCAGTTATGCTACCTGGGAATTTAGC